ATCAAAATGACATAACCTCCTTAAGAAAATCTCAGGTACTATTTCCTTGAAGATTTCTTTAGGACATAAATTGATCTTTTCAATTTACAAACTTTCTTTTCTTGGCCTTTAACAACGAAACCTACTGGCTATTCCATATAGATTTACACACTTAATTCTCCATTGATTAAAACAGTCTTCTTGAGTAAAACTTTTCTCCACCAATCCTACTTTGTGTCTTTCTATCAACCCATTCGATTTGCATTTAACTTTGAGAATCCACGCATTGCCAATAGTTTTACGTTCCTTAGGAAGGTCAACTAGATCCCAGACTTTATTGGTTTCATGGACTCTAATTCTTCTTTCATCACTTTTAACCATTCATCCCTTTTAGGGCTCGATAAAGCCTCAATTAGAGAATTAGGTTCATCCAATTCTATAGGAGATACAAATAAAACATAATCCTCAATCTCATAAGATCATTCAGGTACACCTTTTCTTGTACTCTTACGTATTTGAAGTTCAGATACCTCTATAGGATTTTGGGATTCACAACTCCCACTTGGACTAGGAATCATTTCTTGATCCATTGAATTATCAAGTATGTCTGACAACATTACTTGATCTTCTCAATTCAACATTTCATAAAGAGGCTCAACTTCATTTTTTTCACCCTTTTTGGTAAAAGCATTTTCCAAAAATCTGACATCTTGTGATACAATTTCAGTAATACTCCCATCCTCCAGTTTGTCGATGAACACATACCCTTTGGAGCATTCAGGTAACCTTATAAATAAACATTTCTTTCATTTTGGACTTACTCTACCAAACTCTCAAAAAGGATCTTCAATATATGTTGCACAACCCCACGGTCATAGATCATTCAGGTTTGTTTGATGACCAGTTTAAAATTCATCAAGAGTGGAAGACACTAATTTAGAAGGCACTTTATTCAATATGTAAGCCACCGTCAATAATGCATCTCCCCAGAAAGAGATAGACAAATGTGTTTGCGCCATCATCGATCTTGTCATGTCCAATAATGTTTTATTCCTTTTTTCAGCTTCACCAATTTCTTGAGGTGCATAAGGAGTAGTTAACTATCTGATAATACCTTTCTCAATCCATAATTCTTCAAATTGTTTTAACAAATATTCACGTCTTCGGTCAGTTCTTAAAGCCTTTATGATTTTATCTTAACTAATTTTCAACTTCATTCATATATATTTTAAAGCACTCAAGTGCTTCAGATTTATGAGAAATCAAATAAACATAACCAAAGCGCATGAAATCAAAACTAACATCTAATAGACAAAGATACTAAGTGTCGTCAAATCTCTGGAGCATATAGGACGTCATGAAACATTAAAGAATGACCACAACGCAAGTCCACTTTGGAAGTGTCTATCCCTTTAACTTCTAGTTTCACATTATTTCCCACGTAGATCCACCTTGATTTAGATGAAACTCGACAAAACTCGATAAACGCTTCTCAATCTTGAATCACGTGGTCAGTTGATCCTGAGTCTACAATCCACATGGGATAAGATTCAATTAGTAAAGAAGTGCTAGAAACATATGTAGCACTTAGAGATGCATTCAGAAATGCTATCTTTTTCGTCTTAGTACATTCACATGCAAAATTCCCCAGCACTTGGCAATTGTAGCACTTCATTTTGCTTTTTTCTCTCTTCTTAAAAAACGGTTTTCCTTTCTTAGAATTTGACTTTTTTTTTCTTAGAGGGTCCTTCTCCGGTCTCTTTTTCTTTCTAATTTCTTTTTCAATTCGTCTTGCATTTGAAGCCTGAAGATTTTGTACCACTTGACTCTGTCATAAAGGCATTAGAAGCAGCTTTAGCAGCACCAAGACATTCATCTTCAAGTTCAAAATGGCGGGCAACATCAGAAAAGGTTTTGATGTTGTCAATATGGGTCAATTTAACCTTTAAATGATTCCAATTACTAGGAAGAGATCGAATCACTGCCTGGACTTGTTGCTCATCTGAAAGAACATGACCAACACACTTGAGTTGAGCTATCATGTTTGACATCACCCTTAGGTGTTGTTTGACATTTTTATCATGATGCTTCTTATAAGTGTCAAATTTGATAGTTAATTTACATAGGTGGGTTACAGACGTAACCCCATATATTCCTCTCAGATGTGTCCACATAGCATGAACAGTAGGGAATTCTCCACATTCATGTATGATGTCATCAATGATAGAACTAACTATTAGTCCACATGTAGTGGAGTTAGCTTTTTTCCAAGATTTGCAAGCGTCAAGATCCCTTCTGTGTTGACTCTTTTTGTTGATTCAAAACATGATTTATACCTTTCAAAGCATTTTGTTCTTCCAGTATATACCATATTTTACGACTCCAGATGTCGTAATTTCCACCATTAAGTTTAACACTTTTGCTTAAGTCAGTGATGATGCTTTTTGTTGCCATGGTTGTTTCGAGATATAATCAGGAAAATTTTTAATCAATTATGCATGTGACTTACACATCCAAGCAAATCAATTATCATAAATATTTCATATTTAATGTAAAATTGAAAAGACACGTAAGTATCCAATCATCATCTACGAACTAAATATTTAACCAAAATTTGAAACTAAATTCTTAATGTGTACATTAATATATTGAAGACTTTAGTAACAAGGATTTTTACGTCTACTAACTTAAATTATTTTTAAAAAAACAAACCTCATATATTGAAAAGCAAATAAGCAATAACAAATTACTAATCTTTTTAAAGACTAAAATCCTTCCACGTGTCTTCAAGGCAACAAATATACACCCTAAAAGGTTGATTGAGCCAAATGTCATGATAACTATCAGTCAATCTACTACTCCAAGGTTCACGTAGAGTGTTTGTTAAATAAGCTAAGACTCTCCAATCTAAAATTTCCTTATATATCAACCAGTTCAATCCATTTTATTTCAAAAAGGTGAATAAAATCAGGTGCTAAAATAATAGCAGACATCTTCAAAAACTCAAACTTTTAAAATTCTTCTATCTTTCCCTTCGAATAGCCCTTTGATTCCTTAATATATTTTGTGTCGCCCTTGGGACACCAATCCGTATGATTTCACGCCCTCGAGAACATGTCCTACGGTGACTTGCTTTTCTACCTTGTCCCTTTGCTCGATTTGTAGAACTCCCACTTCGAGTAATTAGAGCATGTTCCCGTTCTACCATATCTAGAATATGATAGTAATATTTGTCTAATTAGATATCTTAGTCTCTTAAATATAATTTTTAATTTAAGTTTTCATCCAGATCTTGGCCGTCTCAGGCCACAATGGACACCACCTCTGGTGGGCAGTTGATGTCGGAGGACTTTCCCACCTTTATACCAAAAGGAATAACCAGTAGCCCTATTCCAACGCCAACGGGTACAACCTATGCCAACACGCTAAAACCTAAGACTCAGAACTACACAGGTGCTAAAGTCCCTCCAAAGCCAGTGACAATGGTGCAAGGGGAACCAAATGTTACGTGGAAATCATCCGAAGTAAAGAATCTAATCATCCAAGAAAACCTACAATATGCGATTATAGGGAAATTTTCCTACGGAAAGCCGGAAATAGGAGAATTGAGGAAGGCAATCCCAAAGCATTGTGGAATCAAAGGAGAATGCACAATTGGAGTACTAGATTCTAGATATATTCTGATTAGATTATCAACATTGGAAGACTATGTACAATTATTATCAACTTCTGCATATTATATCAAAGCAAAGGAAAACTACTGGCAGATGCGCACTTTGAAGTGGGATCCATGGTTTGAACCAGATGTGGAAATAACAATAGGAGTGACTTGGATCTCAATGCTGGATCTACCACAAATTTTTTCGCGAAAGAAGCAATTTTCTCAATTGTTTCAGCAATAGGAAAACCACTTATGGTAGATATGGCGACTAGAAATCAAACAAGACCAAGTTGTGCAAAGGTGAAAGTGGAGGTAGATCTGATTGCTAAGTTACCGCAAAGGGTAAAAATTAATGAAGAGGATGATAATACAGGGGAAATCAAATCTAAATGGGTCAAAATTCTGTATGATTATATGCCTAAGTACTGTAGTGAATGCTTCCTGCAAGGACACGATGAAAGTAATTGCTGGAACATCCATCCTGAGATTCATGAAGAGAAGGAGCAGCTGCATAGAAATGATACAGAGGAAGTGTCAGATGAGACACAAATAAAGGTTTTAGCCAGTGGAAAGGTTGTGGGAAACAATCAAAATTATCAATGGCAGACAAGAGAGAGTAAATATAAAAAGGATAGGTTTGGACATGTAGTAGGAGTAATCAATGATCAAGAATTGGAGGAAGTGCAGAGAAATAACTCTTTTGAATTACTGAAGGAGGGAGAGGAGGATAGGTGCAATGATTCGAATCAACAAGAAGGACAGAACAACGATTTGTTGAATACTAAAGAATGGGTGCAATAGGCATTCTCAACAACTCCTGATACGAGTGCACAAAGAAAGAAAGGAGGCGCGGAGAAGACATGTATGAGTACTAGCTCGAGTAATGAAGTGAACCAGGAAAAGGGTGACAGTGAACACCAATCAGTACTACAAGAAGAGGAAACAAAATTGAATGAGGTGGAGAATACAGAGGGCATCCAAGAAAACTATAAAGGTGCACTGGTAGTGGTTGATGAGGCAAATCCGCTTCAAGTGGATAATCAGATGGCAATTAGTAATGGGGATAAAGATAATATGGATACAGAAGATTTAAAGGAGGCAGTTAACAGGTGGCCATTGAAGGAAACTTATCTCCTAAACAAATTGAGAACCTGAAAGAAATGCATGGTAAACATAAGCGGAAAGGAGGTGGAGAAAGACAACTACAGGTGACCACAAGACAAATAAGGAGTACGGTATCCAAATCAACCAACTCTCAATGAATACATTAATTTGGAACATTAGATCAGTGAACACTTAAAAGGCATTCACTAGGTTGATCACATTGCACAAGAGGTATCAATTTTGTCTAATTGGAATCATGGAACCATTTCAAGATATTCACAAGTTGGAGCAGTATCGAAAAAGATTAGGAATGCATCATGCAGTGTCAAATACAAATGGGAAAATATGGGCATTCATGGATGCATATGTGGAATATGAAGTAGTGGTAGATGCTGAACAACAAATTACTCTAAAGATAACAAACCAAGCTCAGGAGTTGGAAGTGTTGGTAACATTGGTATCTGCTAAATGTACCATTGCAGAAAGATTACAATTATGGGAATCATTGGATCATATCGCTGAGGCAGTGCCAATGCCGTGGGTGGTGGGGGGAGACTTTAATACCATCATGAACGAGGAGGAGAAATTGGGAGGACTACTAGTATTAGCTAAAGAGACTCAAGATTTCAATCATTGTATAAATGTGTGTAATCTGGAAGATCGGGGCTTTAAGAGGAGTAAATATACTTGGTGGAATGGTAGAACGGATGAAGATTGCATATTCAAGAGGTTGGATAGGGTTTTGTGCAATGATGAGATGAGTAATAAATTTCCAGTGATTGAAGTAGAGCATTTAACCAGAAGTGGGTCTGACCACTCTCCTTTGTTACTAAAATGCAGTATTAGCAATGAAGGGGTGGTTAAACCATTTAGGTTCTTAAACTTCTGGATAAAAAAGGAGACGTTTAAAAAGGTAGTAAAACAAAATTGGATTGCAGATTTTGAAGGCAATCCTTTTGGCATATTTCATCATAAGCTGAAGAGAGTTAAGAGGGCACTTTCGCAATGGAGTAAAGAAACCTTTGGCAATATTTTTCAAGAAATAGCCACCCTTGAAGACACTATCAAAGTTCTTGAAAAACAATTTAAGGAGGTTCCGTGTGGAGAAAACAGAAGCAGACTGCAGAAAGCTCAAGCGGATTTATATACACAACTACAAAGGGAGGAAGATTTCTGGAAGCAGAAGGCAGGTTTTGAATGGTTCAAAGATGGTGAGAGAAATACAAGATTCTTTCATACTATAGTCAAAGGAAGGAGGAGTAGACTTAGAATAAAGAGAATTCAGAATGAAGATGGGGAATGGGTTGAGCAACAAGACAATATAGCTGAAATGGCAGTGGAATTCTATAAAGGGCAATTCACTAAAGGTGAGGAAATTGAAGATTTCGATATGTTGAACGAAATAGCAAGAATGGTCACTGATGATTAGAATGAGGAGATACAAAAAACTCCGAGTAACGAGGAAGTAAAATCAGCAGTGATGGGTCTTAATAGGCATAGTGATGGAGGACCGGATGGCATGACAGAGGCTTTTTTTCAGGATACTTGGGAAGTAATAGGAGGGGACTTATACAATATGGTAAAGGCCTTTTTTTGTGGAGCTGAATTACCAAGATTTATAACTCACACAAATTTAGTCTTATTACCAAAAAAACTGGTGATTAATTCTTTTTCAGATATGAGACCCATATCTTTGAGTAATTTCGTGAATAAAATCTTTTCAAGAATTGTTCATGAAAGAATCAAAGGGGTACTTCCATTGATTAACTCTCTGGAGCAGGCTGGGTTCGTTAAAGGGAGAAGCATAGCAGAGAATGTCTTGTTGGTGCAAGAGATAATCACCGAAATTAGAAAAAGGGGAAAACCTCCAAAATTGGTAATCAAGTTGGACATGATGAAGGCATATGATAGGGTGGATTGGGTGTACCTTACAAAGGTATTAAGAAAAATGGGGTTTGGAGAGAGGTTAATTGATATGGTCTATAGATTGGTGGGAAATAATTGGTACTTCATTCTGCTGAATGGGCAACCTAAAGGTTTTTTCCAATCGTCTAGAGGTTTGAAACAAAGGAGATCCTTTATCTCCAACCCTGTTTATACTAGCAGCTGAAGTTATGTCAAGAGCTCTGAATGCATTAGTATTGAAGAAAGGATTTAAGTTATTCGGAATTCCAAGGGGAAGTCCTAAAGTAAACCACTTGGCCTTTGCGGATGACATGATAATCTTGTGTAAGGCTGAAATAGGTACAATGCAGATGGTGAATGGAGTATTGGAGAGGTATGAGAAGATGTCAGGCCAAAAGATAAATAAAGAGAAGAGTGCAATTTATCTACATGATAAGGTGTCACAAGGGGATGTAGTGGTAGCTGAAGTTGCAACAGGCATCCTGAGAAAAGAGTTTCCATTTACATATCTAGGTTGCCCTATTTTTTATAGGAGGAAGCAGAAAGCATATTACCAGCAGATGATCAACAGGATCAGCACCAAATTACAAGCATGGAAAGGAAAATTGTTGTCATATGCAGGAAGAGCGATTTTAATTAAACATGTACTGCAAAGCATTCCTGTTCATTGCTTGTCAGTGATGAATCCACCATCCAATGTAATAAGTACTATACAAAAGATGATGACACAATTTTTTTGGAGTAGTTGCATGGGAGGTAAAGGTCGACATTGGACAAGCTGGAGTAAGTTGTGTTTACCAGAGGCGGAAGGAGGGCTGGGATTTAGAATGTTGCATGATGTGTCAATGGCTCTATTTTGTAAGTTATGGTGGAATTTTAGGACACAATCGACTATATGGAGTGAATTCATGCTCAACAAATACTGCAAGAAGGAAAATCAGAATGCAGTTATATGGAAAGTAGGATACTGTGGATCACAGGTATGGAAGAAAATGTTACAGGCAAGAGATCATATAGAGCACCAAATATGGTGGCAAACCAAAAATGGGTCTGCTCATTTATGGCATGATAATTGGACTGGTTTGGGAGATCTTTACTCAATAAGTGATAAAAGTTATGAATGGGATGATAGGTATCAACAAGTCAAAGATATCAAAAGGGAGGGAGAGTGGGTTGAGCAACTTATGGAGGAAATTTTTCCAGTTGAAGTGGCTAACTTCATCAAGGATAATATCAGACCTCCAAGGGATACGGAAGAAAATGATAAACCTGCTTGGATGCTGGAAACAAGTGGAAAGTTCTCAGTTAAATCAGCTTGGTCCTATATTAGACACAAAGAACAACCCAGTCAAATAATTAATGATCTATGGGTGCAAGGAATGCCTTTCAAGATGACTTTCTTAATGTGGAGACTCTTGGAAATTTAAAATTCCAGTAGATGATAGAGTTAGAAGGTGGGGAGTGGAGGGACCATCGCGATGCTGGTGTTGCACCAATCCGTCACAAGAGACCTTGTCCAATGTGTTTTGACACTTAGATTTTGCTAACAGGACTTGGTCCTATTTTTCATCCTTTGCAGGTCTGAATATTCAGCAGCTAAATCTCAGGGAAAGCATCATGCAATGGTGGGGAGATGAAGTGAGACAGGGGTTGCAAGTCTATTTTAAAGCTATTCCCAGCATAATAATCTGGGAATTATGGAGAAGAAGGAACTCACTAAAGCATGAAGATCAAGGAACTACGTGGCAACGAAGCATTCATAATATCACAAGAAACATATTGAGGTTACTAAAGGTCAGAAGGCCAAAGAGAATTTTTCCTAATACTTGGCCAGAAATAATGAAAGAATTACAACAGTGCAGAGCAGTAATCAAATTCACCAAGGTACTGTGGGAAATGCCACCGATAGAGTGGGTCAAATACAACACTGATGGAGCATCGCAAGGAAATCCGGGGGACTAGTGCATATTCTTTCTGCCTAAGGGATGCAAAAGGAAATGTTTTATATGCAGAGGGAAAGAATATAGAAGACACTACAAATACAGAAGCAGAAGCAAAAGCAATATTGGAAGCAGCCAAACATTGCAAGCAAGCAGAGTATAATAGAGTAATCTTTCAAACTGACTCTTTACTACTAAAACAAGTATTAAGGATGAAGTGGGAATGTCCATGGTGTATTGTAGATTTGATATTGCAAGTCAGGGAAATACTTAAAGGTAAAGAAGTCCATTTTCAACACATACTAAGGGAAGGCAATAAAGTTGGAGACTACTTAGCAAATCTAGCATTAGATAAAGGTAATTGCAAGTTTGTTCACTTCCAAGAGATGGAATCAACAGGTAAAAGACTAATTAATGCTGACAAATTACAATGTCCCTACATCAAAGTTTCACCATACAAAGGATAAAGGGCAAAGAAAGACTACAGATTATAAATTTTCCCTTTGTTAGAGTGAAAAACCATCTAGCATAATCTATGTCAGTCGACAAAAAAGAATTCGCAACAAAATGGGAGGGTCTTAGGGTCAGATGAGAAGTAGAGCACCTAGAAGAGATGAAAATCGGAGCACACCATGCCATTTGCACCTGCAGGAAAAGAAATTCAGAACATGACAAGGTTGTAAAACACAAAAAAGAAGAGGAGTACTTATCCAGTGAGTAGGCGGTATTGATGGAAGCCCTCGAAGTACCGAAAGGAATTGAGATTTGAGGAGAGACACCATGGTCGTAGGGAAGAGATAGAGGAGCTATGATAAACTCTAGAATAGGAAACCTTACAGATCAGGATATTTGTGATGGTGTGATGATAGATGTGTTTTTGTACTTTTACTTTTGTTTAGTACTATCTGTATGCTTTGTTCTTGGACGGGCAAAATGGGCCTTTGCCCATGTGTATTGTTGCTTTTCTCTTAATAAAAACCCAAATCTGAATTTAAAAAAAAACCGTTCTACCATATCTGAAATGGGCTCAAAATGGAATTATGGTTAATACCACTTAATGCGACAACGTATGTCACAAATATCTCGTAGGAGACAAGGAATTGTTTAAGAATATAAGAACAAAGCGAATTTATCAAGACCAAATATTAATACACATAATTAAAATCAAAATCTAGTCAAAACAGTTGGTCACTTAGAACAATCTCAAAGGCAACCACAATCTGAAATAATTTATTAACATAAAAAAGTACTACACATCCATTGTCTATTTTTCAAAAAAAAAAAAACTTTATGATTCCAAAAAAAAAGTACAATAATTTTATTAAAATAAAATATGAGTGCTCTTTATTAAAAAAAATGTGGGACTATGTTATTTTTTTTTCTTTTTAATCCTTAACAGAAAAGGATAAAATAAAAAAAATATGAAAGGCCCACCTTTCACACGTTTCTTTTTAAAAAATGTGGGACCATTTTAAAATAAAAAATCATTAACAGAGAAGGACAAAACAAAAAAAAAACAAAAAATCCACCTTTCACACGTTAAAAAAAAGAACTATTCACTTTTTCCTCGACAAAATAAATATCATCCCTTTTTCCTTTTCGTCACAAAATTCTAGTGTTCAAGATATCTAACTTCTGCTCAAGAAAAAAAAATCAAAAATAAGGAAAAAAATATATAACTTGAAAACAGATCTCTTTATGTCTTTTCTTATTCATTACATATAACAGAACTACAAGAAAAAATCAAAGGAACTTTTCAAATTCGCAACCGAATTCAAGGGGTTCATGTGGTACTCCCGATTTCAGATTAGAAGGCATAAAATATGGGATTCAATTTATGTTGAGCCTAATCTTTTCGATTTATATCAGGTTAGCATCCACTATAGAATTGAATGAACTTTATTAGCATAAAAAAATTCAATAGATTCTACACTGATTTTTGCATAAAAATATACATGAAAACAATAAGCAGTGTTACACTTCAAGGAATTACTATGCAAATAATGGAGTAATTAACCTTGCTTTGATACCAATGTAATAATTTATATAAACAAGATACAATATAAAAATGGTGTACCTTGTTGTAGCGGATTAAATCACGAACTGAAAGTATTGCTTCAAATCCTTTCTTTGAATCACTAGGAAACAAAGATTGTTTTTCACAAAGCTAAATGTGTTTTGGTTTTTTTGTTAAGAGAAGAAAGAAAATTGATTTTCTTGTCTTTCTTATTCTTTTAGTGGTTTCTGCTTTATAATTTTACGTTCCACATTCTTTTTTAGGGAAGAAGCACTCTCTTCTTAAAAGGAAGGGAGTGCAACTGTTAAAATAATATGTTTTCCCTCCAATCTTTTCTAAAAAGTAGATAACTAATATTTATTATCCTCTTATTTCCAGAGAAAAAAAATGGATCGAAATTGGGTCGGTTCACATGGGCGAGTCATGACCCGTGAAATTTGACCCAAAATCTAACAGGCTCGACATTTATTAAATATCGGATCGACGGATAAGATTGTGCCACGTGTCCTTATTTAGTCTTCTGTTAGAGTGAAGGGCATATGTGCTCTAGTTTTAGGACGGCATGGG